TCCTTAAATAATTTATATCTGAATATCAATTCAAATGGAGTAAACTGAGTTGATTCATTTGGAGCATCTCTAGTAGCAAATAATATAAATGGGATACCTTTATCCCAATCATTTGGGAAATCCTGGCAGTTTGCCCTCAGCATGGTCTTTAGGATCTGACGCCACCTTTCCAATGCTCTCTGGGATTCAGGATGGTATGCACTTATTTAAAATTTTTGCTGCCTAAACTATCCACGACCTCCTTAAACAATTTGGCAGTAAAATTGGACCCATGGTCTGACTGAATTTCCCTGGGTAGTCCATGACAGATAACGAAAGCAAGCAACTCCTCCACAACCTTTTTGCCTTGACATTCCATAATGGAATTGCCTTCAGATATCTGGTAGATACATCCATTATGGTTAGCAAATATTGGTTCCCAATTTTGGTTTTAGGGAAGGGACCTACACAATCAATCACAACCCACATGAAAGGTTCTTGACATGTGGGAATTGGCACTAAAGCCGCTGGTTTTATTACTGCCTGTGGCTTTTCTACCATCTGACACGTATGACAGATATGGCAAAATTCAACCACATCTTTATGTAATCCAGGCCAATAGAAATGCTTCTGTATCTTAGACTGAGTCTTCCTCACTCCTAGGTGACCTCCTACAGGTAATTTGTGCGCTCCCCGCAATGGTTCATGTCTGCATTCTACCAGCAACACAATCGGGTTTTCCACTTCTGCCTTAGGATTCTATCCATAACATAAAAACGTTCTGGAACACATTCTGATTCCTTTTCTGAATAGATTTTATGATATAAATCTTTTATTGTCTCATCTTTCTGTTGAAACTCTATTCGTCTTTCAGAATGAAACACCTCTGCTAGATCATCTTCCTGCCCAGGTTCTTCCTTTACCATTTCATCAAACAGGGTGTCAGCTAACTGGACCTTATCTCGTTTGTCCTTCTCTTTGGTTTTCCCCTCTTGCTACGACTGTGGGATCTTGTCAACACACAGTCTGAAAAAATTCCAGGGTATTTTCTTTTAACTCTTCAGTTCCCTGGTTTGCTTCTGGTTTCTCCACTACAATGGGCATCACTCCCACCTTTGATCCTGCGAGGTCGTTTCCAAGAACAAACTGTATTCATGGAATAGACAATCTTTTAATCACTCTCACTGTCACTTCCCCAGACTTGATTGGACTTTCTAGCCTTACCTTGCACAGGGGAATGCTAAATCTCTCTCCATTTATTCTACAGATTATCACTCTCTCGGGTAGCATTTCAGAAGGAGTGCAAATACTTTTATCTCTTAGTATTAGAGACTGACCAGCTCCCGTATCTCTCAATATTTTAACTTCTTTACCTTGTCCCCCTGTTCTTCCCAGGTAAACCTTACCCACAAAGTAAAGTCTTTGAAGAGATTGGGTAATATCTTACTATCCAGTCCGTGTTTCGACTGTGCACTCTCCTGTAGCTCCTCAACTTCTCTTTAGTCTCTTTTACCACAGCTTTTTTCCCAATGCCACTCTTAATCCACCAGCTCTGTGACTTTGCGTGTCCCCCTGTATTACAGTGGAAACACCTGAGGCCTTTCACCACATTTTCACCCTCTTGGGTTTGTTTTCCCACATATAGTTAACTGTTCCCAGTGTGATCTACTTTCTGTTTTTAATTGAAGGATCTCCCTTTTTCCCAATTTCTATCCCTCACGGAACGAAATTGCTGTCAGAAGCTAGGTTTTGATTTATGCAGTAATGTGTATTCATCTGCCATCTCTGCAGCTCTTCTCACTGTTTTAACTTTCTGTTCCTCAGCATGAGTTCTTATCATTTCTGGAAGTGAGTTTTTGAACTCCTCCAGCAGAATAATCTCTCTGAGATCCACATATGTCTTTTCTATCTTTAATGTTCTCACCCATTTTTGAAAGTTGATATGTTTTATTGTTTCAAACTCAATATAAGTCTGACCTGGTTCTTTTCTTATATTTCTGAACCGTTGTCAATATGGTTCTGGTACCAATTGTAGGCACTCAGAATAGCCCTGTTTTATTTCTTCATATTCTCTTGACACCTCATCTGACAGCGCTGCAAACACCTCACTAGCCCTACCTACCAACTTGGTCTGAATTAACATTACCCACATAATCTCTGGCCAATTCATCTGGCTGGCCAATTTCTCGAAGGAAATGAAAATGGCTTTTACATCTTTTTCATCGAATTTTTTGACATATTTGACATATATACAGGGTTGTTGGGTATGATGGGTTTTTTCATCATCACACTCCTCCTCAGTAAGCCTATCTTCTACCTTCATTTCTATTGTTTTAAATTGACTTTCCTGAATTTCAAACTCTCTCTCTCCTTCTCCCTTTCTTCTCTCTTTTTTCCCCTTTTGTCGCTCTCTTTTTCCCTTTCTAACTCCAATTGTTTAATTTTGAATTTCATTTTTTCTAACTGCACTGCACTTGCCTGTTTCTCTGGTATACCTAAACACTTGACTAACTCCTTTACAATTTCGGCTTTCCTCTTATCCCTAGTTAAACCAAAATCTAGCCTGTTTGCTAAGTGTAAAAATATATCCTTCCTCTGTCTTTCTAAACTTTCTTGGCAAATTTGGGAAGCATCCTCAAACCCCAGAACCTCTTTAACTGTGTTATGAACCATTTCCCCCACTTTTGATTTAACCAACTGCAAGTAACCGAAATTAAACAGATATTCCACTTCTCACCTAAGTTTTATTTTAAAGATCCAGGACCCTAATCCTCAAGTCTGTTTAAATCTGCTGTGACCTTTCGTACCCCAAATCTGTTCAAATCTGTCCAAATCCCGTTCACGAACTGGCCAGATCCCACATTTATGCTCTTAACTTGTTACGAAGCAGTGGTTGACACCACCCCCCCACCTTGTTAACTAATACCTAATCACTCAGAGAAGTTCACCTCGCCTCGTAATCTGTCAAAGGAAGTGTGAAAAGTGGTATAATCTGCCTGTCATCTCCCAATCTGTTATAAAGGAGTGGTTAAATAAAATAAAATCCTTTCACTCATTCTATAATCAACAAGTAACAATTCATTTATCAAACTCTAACAGTTAACAAATTAACAGAGCTATAACAAACCAAACAATTCCACCTTAACTATCAACTATTCCTGAATAAAACAAAATTCTAATGGTAGGCTGTTCCAGTAGATATAAGTACCACTTTTCTAAACCGCAGTAATAAGAAAAATAAATTAAAACTTAGACTCTCAAAATTACAGCCAGGATAAGTCTTTCAGAATGCTCTGTGCACTCTCTGCTGATCCTCAGTCAGGAATGCCTTTCTCCATCAAATTCTTGGGTCAGGAATATTAACTAAGAATGCTGCTGTACCTTTAGTTTAGATGATGGTTTTCTGAGAGCTTAGATAGTTCTGTGAGAGCCAGTGATTCTTTCTTTTATAGCTAAGAGCTGTTCTCTTGGCAGGTGACAGTAGACTCTCACCCTGACTTTTAAATGCGCTCCTCTTCTATACCTTTGATGACTTATTAATTTCTTACAATAGAATTGGTCCTGGGTTGCCGAAACCATCAGATTTAAATTTAATTGGGATTTGGTATCTAGGGCCTGGTTTAAATTAATTGGCTAAATTCAAACACCTGTTGTCTTGGTAAAAATACTGCTTTGCCTGCTAACAGTACACCCTATTGATACAATGTTTCAATTTCAAAAACTCCCTGTGCATCTGCTGCTGCCTGCAGACATTTTCTTTAATCGCCAAGCCTTTAAAAACATCATCTTTTAAGAGACCATGCACTCTTCAGCCCCTATCATTTTTCAAACATCAAATACTCTACCCAACTTTGCAACACGTTTTAAATATATTTGGCTGTAAAACCACACCTTTAACTAATTGTGTCATTTACTGGCAGGAGAGGTTAATGACTTACCGTCTTAACAATGTCTTTGTTTGATGAAACCAAGAATTTTTTAAAATATTATACTGGTTGAATGCGCATAAAATACAAACAAACATGCCTTTACCTGCCGCCAGTTGGCTTCCAGCTATATTAATATCAGATTATACAAATAGGCTACTGGTGTTCTATTACAAAATAAACACTTGATTCTGGCATAAATTGGCAGGATAAACTGGTTTTACAAAGCCAATGGAGAATAGACATTGACTTGTTGTTAGCAATGTTACGTTATTACAGAAAGAACAATATGTTGCAGAATCACAATAATGTTATTGTGCAGGAGAGCCCAATGTTTCAGCGTGTTGTCTCTGAATTAGAATCATCATTTTGTGACATTTTCCTGCCCTTGCCCCATAACTTTGCACATTATTTCTGTTTATATGTGTCTGGCGTTTAACAACAGTTTCTTCACAATGTCTATGGTCTCTGCAGTAATAACCTGCGAACTAAATATATGGATTATGGAAAAATCACAAATAATACTGTGAAGTATCCAGTAGCTCTCTATCCTTCTGCGGAACATTTTCTGCATTTAACAATGATTGGTTTCAGCTTGGGGAATTGGTTAGCTCAGTTGGCTAAGGTGTGATGCAAGGTAATGTCAACTGTGCACATAGAATTCTACACCAGCTGAGGTTATTCTTGAGCCCTGTCAAATCACTTTGCCCTGAGTGATGCAGCTGCTAATGTATCCTCCTCACCTCTGGAATTAAGGAAAAGTGCAAAAAGCAACACATACACTTTCTCCTCTTTAGTCAAATTTAGCTGAAGACATTCTGGAGAAGAGTCATTTGTGACTTGAAATGTCAACTCTGTTTCTCTCTCCACAGCTACAGCCAGACTTCTGAATTCCTCCAGCATTTTATGTTTTTATTTCAGATTCCAGCATCTGCAGTATTTCGCTTGTATTAAAAATTAAGCTGGTTTCTTTGAATTTTACACTATACTGTTCATGTAACGTATAAAACAGCACTGTTGCAGTTAGAAGTGTTGAACACACTCTTTTGACCGAGTACATGTTTTAAATGTGATTGTTTTGTCTTGTCATTTCAGAAATGGTCCTTGTGATTTTGGGTCTGTCTTCACTTTGCAGTTGTAGCATGTGGCTTTGCCTGTCTTAGTTTCTGCTTCACGATGCACCTGAACAAGTTGAAGGTTAATGGAAATGCATCTTAAATATCTGAGTCTGTATATAACTTTCTTCTCAGACATCTTGGTCCGAGGTAAGATATTTGTAAATACACAAGGCATTTTAAAAGAAAATACCAATATATCATGAGAAAGCAAATTTGGTTACTGTAGCATAATGGAGTTTGCCAGCTTTGTCTGTTTAATTTTACATTTTCATAAACTGGATCCCGAGGAATATGTTTTACAGCAGAAGGCTGATCCTACCCTTTTTGATTTGGGTTCTCGATTCACCAACCTTGTTCCTTTTGCCTATATTTTCCATACTGAAATTCCTGAAAAACTTCTCATCTGTGATGCCATTTGTGAATAAATATGTGAGTGTTTCAATTTAAAAAGAGTACGGTTTAAGTGTGCATATTAGTAATTAAGAACTATTTTTGCCATACTAGAGGATAAGTTTGTTGTAATAAATAAGTTTTATTTTGTTTCTTGTTCATTGATGATACCTATTTTGAATTTCTTTTTTCTTATACAGTGTTTGCAGATAGACATTAACTAATGATCAATTTGGTCATATTCGACATTTGTGATAACTTGTGGGCTGGTGAGGATTGATTTTCAGTGCACTCTTCCCATTTGGGTCACAACAAAGTCGAAAGGAGAACAATGATTTGTAAGAATTGTGATGACAGCACAGAATGGAAATGAAGTGCCAAATGGACACTTGGACTTCCTGTAACATTATGAGCTTCACAGACATGTGTAAAATTACAGCAGATGCCGATCCAAAAATTAAACCCTCAAAGGTAAAGTGAAGGGTCTGTGATGGAACAATGTGCACAGCTTAGTCCGAGAGCTCAATGTTGTGGCGAGGCTGTAGAACTGGAATTTCAGACATTAGACACAATGCTAAAGCCACTCGTCTGAGCAGAATCAAGTTGAAAGCTCAAATTAGTAGCCCTAAATTTTCAGAACAGATTTGTTTTGTAGGCCACATTGACTGACAGATAGAGAAGTGAACAGAATGAGGCAGTTACTTCGACTGCAGGAATGCAAAGGAAATGCAGCCTTGTCCGACACAGCTAACGCAAATAAATGGAAGAGGTTTCTTATGGAACAGCATAAATCAGCAGAGTTGCAAAGATGAGTTTGAAACTGAACCAGAGATCACATCATTCCAACCAGCAGAAGTTAGAGGAAAAGCCAACAACATGCAGGTGCACCATCATAAGACCCAAATACTCTGAAAATCATGTGTTTAAATAAATGGACAAAGGTGGAAGTAACTTGAATAACAAACAGTTGTTAATGCATGAGAACTTTTGTTTGTATTGTGACAGTGCTGTCATTTTAAAAGAGGTTGTAAGGCAGAGGTGATGAACGACTGCAGATGGCTTAAGTAAACAGCTTAGGAGGCCTTGTTTTTTTCAACAGCCTGAATAGGTGTGGCCCCTCTAACAGATCCAGATTTCTGGGTTTTGGTTTTTTAGTAACATCAGAAGCTGTTTGGGGTCTCAGAAGAGTTGGAAGCTTTAGCAAATTATTCCTAGCTGCTGCTTTCTCAGAAATTTCTTTTAATGTTTTTTTGTCCTGGATTGGAGAACTGCATGTAAGAAACTGTGTCTGAAATTGCCTTTTTGCCAATGGCTATGTTTGTGGGATGTTACTATATTGAAACAGTTCATTAGTAATAGGTATTGTATCTATTGTTTGGTTAAGTTTTCCAATGAAGTTATTCTAAATTTCTCTTCCTTTTGTTTGTAATGTAACTATAGTGTTTAAATAAATTGTGTTTTGCTTAATGTGAAGTAGTTTGGCCAATCACATAGTATCTGGAACATGGCACTTCCCATCTACCTTTAAAATAAGAAGAAATTAGGGTCTAGCCTACCTTTTTAAAATATTTTGAGGGGTCTGGTCTGGTATATAACAGTATAGTGTACAACTTGAGTAACTTGTAGTTACAATTAATAATGCCTGTTATTAAAATGGATTGATATGTAAGCATGTGCAAATGTCCTTTCTGGCTTCCTTAGCCAAGTGACCTTTGCCATTAGACCTACTGATGATAGGCAGCCACCTTACATGCCGTTTAATAAAGATACAGTACAAGTCAGACTGTCCTGCAAGTTAGTAACACTGTGCAATGCTCTTTGTATAATAGTCTTTTTTACTGTCAGATAAATTAAGTAAATGAAGGTCTTATGACAACTTGTGGTCTGGATTTCATGAAGTTGCAGAGACTCAGAGCCCTTCCAAAATGGTGGGATGGACCTAGATCCAAAACTCAACACATCCTACTTTCATGATTTGTGGCTCAGTTGGTATGGATACTGTATAGAGTTAATGTGAATGGGTAGAGGCATGCATTAGCACGGGAGGTTATAAAGTGTCATTGGTGTGGGTGAACAACTTGGCACGAGTTGACATGCGTGGGCAAGTGACGTGGTGAGAGGGTCTGAGGGTTAGAGGGCATAATGTTTGAAACCAATTTAAAACCAAATAAAACCAATCCCTTTTGAAGAGCCTGCCTCAGAACTCAGAAGTTCTGTGGCTTGTCCAATCTGATTCTGGGAGTGACAAGACTAACTCCATCCCACCATCATCTGTCTGGAATGAAAACTTTGCCTTTTGGGACAGATTTCCAAGCCAGGAAATTTTCTGACATCTTGTAACTAAGTTGGGAGTGAAAAGCTAGACCAATAAATCAACGTTTCAAGTCCTGTGACCCTGTATTAGAATTGTTCTGATGAAGGATCATAGGACTCAAACTTTTAACTCTGCTTCTCTCTCTATAGATGCTGCCAGACCTGCTGAGTTTCTCCAGCACTTTCTGTTTGTGTTTCAGACTTCCAGTAGTTCTTTTTTTCATTATTTTACGGTAGTTTTGGAACCCTTTTCATCCAGCAAAACAAATTATAATCTACCTCATCAATTGTGAGTGGCTTCTAGAATCCCTTTAAGAAATTTTAGTTGTGTTATTAATTACATGAAAATTAACATTCAGCAAGTCTGAGCAATTATGATGGAGCCAAAAATGTCTGATTCCATTCCTATTTTGAAACTCTGGTTACCCAAGTTGTAGGTATGAAATGCACAGGGGAGAAATTATCCACTATTATAATTGCACTGCAGTGTAATAAGATACAAGGCTTGTCATGAATTTTGTAGCCAATAGGAAGTTTGCCAAGAAAAGTTTACAAAAGATGTCCGTTGGCCATCTGTGCCGCATGTTTATCGGATCCATGATATTATACTTGTGCAGCCAATTAGAAAAACATTAGAAGAGGCCGGAGAGCAGCCTGTTTTCTTGGCTGAGATTAGTATAACCAAAGTTAAAATATATTTTAGAACGATAACGCAGGAATTCTGCAGCTCAACTCAGAAGCTTTGTTTCAACACGGGTGTTTACTGTCTTATAACTATACTATTGTGCTCTTCTTCCCTTAGATTGATCCCTCGCTTACTTTCCCAGTACCTACATCTTATGAAGAAGTCTTCAGGGTGTGGGCGCCAAAGAGAAGACCAGTTATAACCGCTTATCCCCCTGGTTGTGCTTAAGCAGAGATAGTGAGCCTTCTTCCTGAACTGCTGCAGTCTGTGTACATGCTGTGCTGTAGGAAGCCAGGATATTGAGTCCAATGTCCAGGAAGTCACCTTCTTGATTCCTCTGCCCAAAGGCAGGTCCAATTCACAGTGCTGCAATCTCTACCATGGATAGGGCAAACAGATAATTCCTGAAACTTCTCTTGCTGATAAAGGGATCAAACCTCATGCTACTGCTGCCAGTCAGATACACACAGGCCATCCAGTCAACTGAAACAACGCCAAGAAGAGTGAGGTGCTGTTGTAACAACATTTTCACATGTATGCTGGAGCTATTGCATAGTAATGTTAGAGGCTGTAACTCCTGTTGAAGGTATGGTTGGCTAGAAATCTCTCCTGCTGTTACTGTCTGCCATTGGCATATGTTGGAACGATGTACAAGTTGATACTCAGTCTATTTGACCACATTAAGCCATTGTGTCCTGGATCAGGATTTGAACTCAGACCTTCTAGCACACAGCCAATGACCCTACCACCATGAGACCTTCCAACAAGAAGTAACGGTAGTTTAAATTAGGATGTGGTGGGACTGGGAGGCAGAAGATTTGATGGTTCTGTCAAAGAATCAATTATTATTACATGTCTAAAATCGCCATCTTTGAACTGCAAACACCTTTGAAACTTTGTGAAAATTTATTCTAACTCCTTACTTTCATAAACGCTACACTGTAATTCACCCATGGAATTAAGTTAATGAATCTGCAGATATGCCGTTCATAATCTCAAATTCAGAGCCAGTTTATCCTATACCTCATTGCACTCATGATATAATCATATCCTGTCCAAGCCAACCATTCTTCTATTTTGTTTGTTTTTTTAACTTAACTCTGTTTGACTTCCAGCCACAACATAGCACTCATTAAAGCGAGGAGAAATCAGGATCAACTTTCAGTAGTGTCAAATATACAATGATGACTCATTATATTAATATTAGATTTCCTTAAAACATTTGCTGATCTCCTAAATTTTATTACATGTATTGCTGTTAGAAATCCATAGGCTAGGTTTTACAAGGAACTATGGTTCCCACATCACCTGGATGGAAGTGGTTGGAATACAGTCCCCCTCAGGGAAAGAACAGTTGCTCCAATTGACTGTTAATTGGCTGGAGATGGGCTTGTCGCCTCTCAGGAAGGTGAAGTTCTGCCTCAGTGAGCTTCCAGCCAACCAGCTGGCCTGCATCTCTGTAGTCCCAGCATGCCAAGTGGGACTAATGGCTAAAACTGGGACTACAGGCAGTTCCAAATAGAAATCATCACTGCAGCCAGACAGCAAGATAATGTGAGGAGGAACATTCTGGAATCAGGGTGAGATGTTTGAGATCAGTCAAGTGCTGGGCTCGGCAGGTTGGGTTGGTAAAATGGGAAGTGTGATCTTGGGATTGGTAAAGCCCTGATGGAACAGGGTAGAGTGGGTGGCACAATGGCTCAGTGCTTTGCACTGCTGTCTCATAGCGGCAGGGACCGGGGTTCAATTGCAGCCATTCATGGCTGCCTGTTTGGAGTTTGCATGTTCTCCCTGTGTCTCCGTGGGTTTCCTCTGGGTACTCTAGTTTCCTTCCACAGTCCAAAGATGTGCAGGTTAGGTGCATTGGCCATGCCAAATGTGGGGTTATGGGGATAGAGCAGGCAGGTGGGTTGCTCTTTTTGAGGATCAGTACAGACTCAGTGGGCTGTATAGCCTCTTTCTAGGAATTCTACGAGAAGTAAAGATATCAGTGTCTTTCCAGACCATCATTAGTAAGAGACAACTGGTGGTGGTAGTATTACCAGAGGCTCATTGCACATCAGGCAAGGAGAGATTTTGAGCAGGTGAGTCCTTAGTGGTAACCTGAGCTGGGACAGGGCTTGTACCCTTGCTGCTTTCATCACAAACCTGTTGTCTAGTCAACTATGCTAACCAGAACAGGGAATGCACATAAGAGGTTCTCCCTCCACATCCTGCCTGATGTAAGCAGCTAGCTACCATCTTGACGCTGGCTTGTCCCTGCTGTGAGTTAACAAACACGTCCCGTGCCCCGCTTAAAATTTCATGCAGGTGGGTGGTTGCTTGGTGAGAAGGCCATGTACTGGATTTTACAAGCCCCTTACCTTCAGAACGGCTGGCAGGTGAGCAAAAAATCCAGCCCAGGAAAAGTTTCTGTAGTTTGGATTATAATCTAACTCATGCTACGCCTACACATGACCTCAGTTGTAAGGAGAAACAGATATATTTAAAACTAATAAAGACTCAATCGAATAAACAATTCAAGAACCTAGAGAATATTAAGTCAGGCACAAACCTACACACAATAGCACTGCTGTCAGAAAGCACTGCTGTTGGCCTTTCAGTGCAACTTGATACATTCTGCTTTCTTGACTCCAAGATTGCAGAAAGAGATCAATGAGTTAATGACATTAAAATTGCTATAAATTAGTATGATGTAGGTGGAGATAGAGTAGGTGAGCCAGACGGTTATTTTACATCAAATCTTCCTGGTAGATGTAAGGCTGCATTACTATTTTAAAGCATCTAAACAAATGCTAATAGGTGAACGGCATTCTTATATGTTTGTTTTAAACCAGATAATGAATCCATTAATTAGGAGACAGGGGAATTTTAAACAAATGCGTTAGTATTCCTCAGTGGTCACTTCCTTGTCCAATCTGTGTCGGCATTGCTCCATCTACAAAACTTGTAATGTTCATTTCAACCAACCAAGCAACCATCTGCTTTAAGACTTAGGCCCCTTGAGTATCTGAATTAGGGACTTCATGCCTGTTAAAGCCCTTTTTTTTCCATAATCAGTGAGTGATGAACAGTGGAGATAGTGAACATACTTAATTTATAATGATGCTTCAGGTTGTGGTGCAGTGGTAGTGTCTCTACCCCTGGCCTGGGTTCAAGTCCCATCTGGTCCAGATGTGTGTAATAATATCTCTGAAAAAGTTGATTAGAAAAGTAGGTTAAATAAGAAAAAAATGATGCTTCAGCAGCCTGTACATCTGCAGTGAGAGGCCAGTCCTATCAAAAATCAAGAAGGGCTCCCTTGTCTTCACAGGTGTTGAGATCACTGATTCTCTTCCTTTCAATAGCTTGTTCCCACTTAGTTCCTTGAACTTAACTGAGGCCATTGCAACAGATCAGTACTGATTTCTCCTTAGTTAGCAAGGTGACCTTAGCTTGTGTAACAGCAATCTTCAGCTGACTAGACTGATTGGGCAAAAGGCTGAGGCCCAACTTCAGCTGGACCATGGTTCAACATGTTTTTAAGCGGAAAATGTTCCTTGAACCAATAAGCACTATCATTACAGCACTTTGCAAATCTCTACCCATTGACGTTCAATGGCATTACCATTGATGAAACTGTACTGGATCAGTGAGATAAATACTGTGGCTACAAGAACAGGTCAAAACCTATGAGTTGTGTGGCAAGTTTCTCAACTTCTAATTTCCCAAAACCTGTCTACAAAACCATCTAGAGGGCACAAGTCAGGACTTTGGGATACTCCTGATTTTCCTGGATGAGCACAGCTGGATAAGCTCAGTATATCTACAAGTGCTATTTTAATGGAGTCAGCTCACTACCATTCTGCTTCTGGAGTTAGCATCAACTTTGTCGCAACAGATGAGCTAAGTCCTTATATCTTGTGATTACAACTCCATGATTTAAAGGACCAATCTAAATGTGGAGACTGAAGGGTTGGAATCGAAAAGAAGAAAAGGTGTCAGAAAGGAAGTGAGTGCATGCACTTTCTGAGTAAGAAAGTGTCTAAATCATCAATTTGTGCAAATCTAATTTAGATTGTAATTTCTCGTTTACTTTAAGAGAAATTAGCAGTTTTAAAATCTGTAGTGCAGGTTGACTTTCAAGTGGTGCATGAAAAGAGTAGCCTCATTAAAAACTAGCTAAAATGTGAACATCTATAAGTAGCCAACCCAGTGTGATTTACAGTAAAGTACAGGAATTGAATGCCTTACTGAGTTCAGAGGGGAAAAAGAGAAGTGCAAGTTTGATTTTTGCCTAAAATAAGCAGTTGAATGTTGATTATTTCTAATCATTAAAATAAAACTAAGTTCTTCAGTTTTTGTTCAGGCCTGCAGATGTTTTTTCTTTTGTTGAAAATAGATATTTTTATCTTATATATATAAGATTGAATGCATTAAAAAGGGAAATAATACAATAAATTGTGAAGAAATGGATGCAAGAGTAATTTCAATTAATAACATAATAAAATACAATAGAAATGACATGTCAAATGTTATTTGCAGCTGCAGCATGTGGGAGCTGCTGGACATCAATGTGATCCACAGTGAACACATCAGCAAGTGTTTACAGCTCGAGCAAGTTTGGATCCAAGTTGAAGATCCAGATTCGAAGCTGCAGACATTAAGTCAGATCAGGGAGGGGGAATGTTACTTGGGCACTTTGCTACAGGAGGCATTCAAACCCTGAAGTGAGGTAATTCAAACGTGGTCTGTGATCAAGGGCGGGTGGGTGTGATTGCAGATGAGACAGGAATGGGGAACCAAGGGGCAGGTCTCGAGGAGCCTCAGTCCCTGCATTGTCCAACAGTTAAAAGGTTGATGCAACCTGTGTGGATGAGAGTGGGGACCATAGGAAGGATGGGGAATTTTACCACGACACCATGGCACAGGGAGTCACTTAGGTAAGAAGAGGAAAAAGCAATGTAGTACTGGTTATAATTGAGGGGATGGATATTATTCTTTGCAGCTTTACAGATGAGTCCTAAAAGCTGTGTTGCCCTACTGGTGCCAGGGTTCGGGAAAACTCCTCGAGACCGGACAGGAACTTACAGCAGGAAAGGAGGGATCTAATCGGTGTTGTCCACATTAATATTAATGATTTTAATAGCAGTGGAAAGGAGATTCTGTTGAAAGATTTTGGGTAGTTGGAAGCTAAACTAAAATATGGAAACTGATAATTGTAGGATTACTACCTGAGCCATAGGCAACTGACATTGGGTAAATAAAGAAAAAGTGTTAAATGCAGGGCTTAAAGGTTGGTGTAAGGGCAATGCGTTTCACTTCATGGCACTAGCACAAATATTGGGGTGGGAGGGAGCTGTTTCAGTTGGATGGGTTTCACTTGAAACATGCTGGAAACATAGTGTCCCAGCAAATCAAATAGCTGGGGCTGTAGAGAGGGTTTTAAACTAATTGGGCTGAGGGAGGGTAGTTCAACAGTGGGAAATGTAAGTTTGCAAAGCAATAGGATATGGTGACGTTGCAGAACAACTATTTTCACAATGCTACCCAGAATAGGACAGGAAGTGACAGAGGATACAAGCATAAAAAGAACAGCAATTCAAGTCCTGGTCAGGTAATTATGGTTTATTGCTCTGGTATGAACTGTTGAAATAAGACAAATTTCTTCCTGCTTCAGAATTAAAAACGGAAGTGGGACTGCCTGGATCAGTAAAAGTCAAAATTTCACATCAGAGCTGCAACTGTCAACCGTGCAACAGATTGGGAATAAATCCATTGTGGGAATGAAAGAGAAGAGAGATGTATTGGATTAGTTTCAAAGCAGTGTATATTGAGATCATGGTGAAATGTTAAATATGGGTGGTAATGAGACAGGTTTTAAGAAATAGTAAATGGCAATTAAAAATAAATAAAAAGAGCAGCAAATGCGGACAAAGGGAGTAAACCGGTAAAAAGGCAAAATTAATATCTCTTTACTAGGATATGCATATTACTCATCACAAAATAAATAAATTTATGGCACAAATGTGTACGTAGCCATTATGGAGACATGGTTACATGGAAACCAAAGTTTGGAACTAAATAATCAGGGGTACATGACCTTTTGAAAGGACAGGCAGAAAGGGAATGGTAGTAGGGTGGTATTGTTAGTATGACATATAATTGGCACATTAGTAAGAAACGATCTTGGATCAGCGCATGTAGAATCTATATAGGTGGAGGTAAGAAATAACAATGGGGAAGAAGACACTAGTGGGAGTAGTGTATGGGCCCCAAACAGTAGCTGTTTTGAAAGTCAGAGAATATATCAAATGATAATGAGATCATGTAATTACATTAATCATGGTAACTTTACTCTTCGTGTTCCAGCACAGATGGTGGCGAGGTGGTGTTTGCTGCAGTGGCAGTGGGGTGGGACTGGCACAGAACTCATGTGGCAGTGGTAGGTTAAACCCTTAACTGGGACCCCACCGGCTCCCCCTTGGAGGTGGTAGAGGTTCCAGGGCCCAGCCTATTTCCAGCATCGGGAAGGAGAGTCAGGAGTCACCTGGACAGATCTGGACATTTCTTTTGCTTTTGTTTCTGTTTGTTTAATTTCTGCTTTCTGTGTGATATTCTAAGATGGTGCCAGAGAGTGGTGACTCGTTGCACTTTTCACTGTGCTCCTGTATTCCTGTACTTGGGTACACATGACAATCAAATGAAATCTAATCTAATAATATAAATTGGGAAAATCAAATTGGCTGAGGAAGAATTCATAGAGTATATTTAGGATAGTTTCCTTGAACAATATGTTAAGGATCATATGAGGGATCTTGCTATTTTGGATCTGTTAATTTATAATGTGGGAGGTTTAATAAATTATATCAGAATAAAAGATCTCCTAGAGAACAATAACCATACCATGGTAAAATTTAGAATTCAGTTTGGGGGTGAGAAATCTAGATTTGAAACCAATGTGCTAAACTTTAAATAAGGCGAATTCACATGGAAATGAGAGCAGAATTGGCTAGGGTGAACTGAAAAAGGAGTTTAACATAAAAGATGGGAGCTTGTAAATGGTAGAGGAGTTGAATAAATACTTTGCATCAGTCTTCTTAGCAGATGGAATGTAATGTGGAAAAATGTGGGATATTGTGCCTTTGCAGAAAGAATTAGAAGAGCTGAATATTACTTACATGGGAAAAGATTGCAGAAAGGCAGAAGGGTACAGCACAGAACAATTTGGAGGTCCTAGTGCACGAATCACAAAAGGTCAGCATGCACTTTTGGGAGGTAATAGGGAAAGGAAATGGAATGTAGGCCTCTACTTTCCTTGAACAGTGAAGAGTTGATTTGCTGAAGTCTGGAAGGAACTAATGTCTTGGCACATATGGCATAGTGTACCAATGCAACAGTGGGCATCATTAGGCAGTCAGTGGTACTTAATTCTGATGAGATTGTGTTAATTTTCAATCAGGGACTATATATATCCGTATTTTGTGGAGTATGAATTGAAGACTCTATCTTAACTGGATAAAATTCTGTTTTCCTTTAAACTGTAATTGAGAGATTGGTATTTTAGGTCAGCTGAACTATTGGTGTTGATGGTTATTGTGGGAAAAGGGGAAGCTACTGAATAATAAAAAAACAAAGTGGCCTTGTTTGAACTTACATGATTCTTACTGATTGATGTTTCTGTGCATCGTCTGAGAACAACATTGGTTGTGGGCTGGCAAAGCTCCAGAAAGCTTCTTTCATTTCCTTTTGTAGATCAGCCTTGTTCGGATTGTGTATTGCATTGCCCAGTGTGACAGGTTCCTTTTGCAATAGTTCATGGGAAAATGTAAGTTATAAAAGAGATTAAAAATTTTCATCTACCACAAGAAGTCCAAACTGATGCCATGCCATGAGGGTTTTTAAAAATTTGTTCATGGGCTGCAAGCGTGGCTGGGTGGGTCATCTCTAATGACAGTTGAAAGGTAGTGTCTGTCAGGTTTTTGAAGTGCTGCAGTCAGGAAGGGAATTTCAGGATTTTGACCCTCAATGATGAAGGAATAGTCGTACATTAGCGCCTCAAGATACAGACTGACATTGCCTTGTGCTTGTGTTGAGTTTTGTTCCAGAGATTTAGGCTTAAAATCTAGATGAGCCTCCAGAATAAGTGGACAGAAATGCTTTTCTTGAATGAGTTGTTAAACCAAAGCTCAATTTGCCTTCTCAGAAAGATCTCATGGCACTACTTCAATAAAGAGCAGAGGAGATTGCTTCATTATCCTGACCAATATTTATGCCTCAGTCAAATATTACTGCCAGTTTATTTGCTCATATTCACGGGATGTTGTACACAGGTTGGCTTCTTTATTTTCTACAGTTGCACTTATGCTTTGAATGTGCTTCTCAGGCTGTAAAACAATTTGGGATTCTTAAGATACTGAGATGGTCTATACAAATGCAGGATAGAATTTTCCATTTTCAGTTAAAGAGTTTTGCTGAATGCAATTCATGGTGCTCAGTTTGTCATTACTTGGGGTGACTTTTCTCATTCAATCTTCCACTCTTCACTTCATTACTTACACAACCAAGCTCTTCAGTACCCTCTCAGGGGTTGGCCTGGCACGAAAGGCAGAAATACCATCTAATGTTGGGATATTACAACATTCACGCTCCTGGTGCCATACTTAAAGTTCAGCTGCACAGCACTTCAGATACTGCAAACCTGGCTCTGCTCATCACACTGAAATGCTCAATCAATTTTAATTGAGGACCTGGCCCATGCAGAAAGGAAAGCTCACACCTGCTTTGTCCGCAGAGACCTTGAAGTAATTGTGGATAGGGTGGTGGAGAGGTGGGCACTCCTTTTTCCATCTCATTGCTGCAGCAATCCACACCACCAGACCCAGTCAGCTTGGACTGATAGGGTGGTTCAGGTCAGTGCTGTGTTCTGGGGGATGTGGGACACTCAACAGTGCAGGAAAAAGGTGGAATATCTCTTGTGCTCCATGAGGGTATGTTATACCATATTCACTCTGCTACCGTTCACTCATAGGGCCACCACTCACTCTAACTCTATCACTGCACACATCTCTCATCAAGGCTCATGAACTACAACTCTCACTACTGAATGCATCCTGTCCACTCAATAATTCCCACCCACCTCATTCCCCCTAAAGTACTAATTCATCCTGACCTCTGCGCTTACTATCTACTCAGTGGAGACAACTCACACTCTCTTCTGCTCTTGGATCATCATTAACTGCTCTTTCATCCATTTCCATCAGATTCAATTTCTCCCTTTTTCTCATTACCGGAGTCTTTGCCCACCTTGCACATTTCCACAATACCCCGACTGAGCTACTGGTCATGTCAAACTGCAAGGACGTGAATCCCCAGACTCTGATATGATTAAGCAATAGCAACTTCCTGAAGTTGAATTGGAGGGCCCCTTCTCTGACTGTGGCAGTACTCCTTAACTGATCGGATCCCCCTTGACCTCAGTAGATGAATTTTGCTCCCCTTTGATTTTTAGGCATAACTATTTGCTTGAAGCACATACAATATGTTTTTTGTGTACGTTTTTAGCACAGACTGTAGATCTGACATTGATGTAGCATGATAAGTCTACAGACCTTCACTATTCAATGCTCTCCATCATGACAAGTTTCCTACTTCTCCCTCAGCACTATAGAGCAATGCAAGACACAGAGGCTCAACCTATAACCAGGTAATGAAGACTGTGTGCATAATAAAGAACTGATGGAAGCATCCAAGTGAGCACAAAGTGGGTAAGCATGAAGAAAGCAAACTAAAGGCCATAAGATGCATCCTGTACCCATGCATGCGATACATATGTGGCCCTTTGTGCAAAGTGACTTGGCAGAATAATGCAATATGTAGATTTCCTGAGCTCCAAATTGAAATATTGAAGGGCTGAAATGATGTGAGAGTTAGTCCAAGAACAGGCATGAAGAATTGGTAAGTTAGGTGGTTTGCTACTGTCAATTGGCATGGAAGAAGGGTCAGGGAGGTTGGTGTCCATAGAACATGGAGGAATGTCAACTGAAGACATAGTTGGATGACAGCTGGGACAAGAAATTGGTGGGCTGCAACTGTCAGGTACCTGCTGTGTTTTACATGTTCAGAATTTACATCAGCTAATTTTGCAGGGAAGAGGCGAATTGGAAGTGGTGAATTAATATGGTGTGTTGGACTATTAATGACATGGAAATTAACAGAAAGTAGGTAGTTGCAACTCAGTAGCAAGGTTTCAAAGTTGACATTTAAAGCTTCAGGGAAAATTTGAATAAAATATCTCAAAATTCTCACTTTATTTTCCTTTCTCACCATTGCCCACACAAGAGATATTCTATCTGCAATCTCCTTCTTTTTGTTTCTTTCCTTCCTAATGATAATGTTTCAATCAGAAAAATATCTGCAAAAGGCTAAATTAAATCCTGAGATTTAAGTTAACATTCAGAATTTTGTTTTCTTAAAGTATTTTATTTAAATTGGAATGTTAAAAGAGATTATGTCAGAAAGCTACAGATTTCTAGGACACAAGCTTCCAAACACCATTCCAGTATTAATCAGAGACAACAAGGTGCAGGGCTGGATGAACACAGCAGGCCAAGCAGCATCATAGGAGCAGAGAGGCTGACGTTTTGGGCCTAGACCCTTCATCAGAAAAGGGGGAGGGG